TTGATGGAGTGCAGCCATCTCCAACTGTCTTGTGAAGCCTGGAGAGACGAGGTGAGGGGCCACCTCCCTGCGCTCAGCAGCCCCTGCCATGTCCTCAATGCCTCTGTACCAGGCACCAGTCCACAGAGTTCAATGCATGGATCTGTGGACAGCAGCCATCAAACTACACACGTGAGAAATTTTGCTCTGCACAGTCTTGTATGCAAAGGTGGCTTTGAGTCTCATCATATTTGGCTCACTGAGTTAGAAAAAGCTGAGAGTAGAAGGGGGCTTCCATTCTGGCTTAAGAAGCGTGACTTCTACCAGGATTTCAAACCCAAACACCCATGAGAAGTGAGAGCTACACACCTATATTACAGGGAAAAATTTTAGGGCATGTAATTTGAAAATCCCGTCAACCTTGAAATAATACAGAAAAATTTGTTTCTTATCATTTCTTATTTCCAGGAGACAAAGTGGAGTTCAAGTCTACCTCAGGTGAGAAAATTGGGTAGTTTCCATTTTATCTGAATACAGCCTGCATCCAGAAATGGATGGGAACTACTTTTACTGCAAGAATGACTCAAAGGCAGCTCAGTATAGCTCATGGAAGTGTCATTACAAATCCATCTTCCTTTTGAATGCTAACTTGCTACGTAAGAGGGATTTACAACACATATCAGAATGAAATTCCTAACTATGAATGTGTAAGATATGGAAGAGATTATCAAGGGAAACTGTAGAACCCCTAGCCCTCCAGAATATTGAATAATCTTATCTGAAGATTACTAATAAAATAGTACACAGCTCTTTTTCTAGAATGGCTTCATTCAAATCCTACCCGAAAGTTGTAAGAAAAAAAAATTCTTCCCACTGGAAATCATGGGACTTTACCAAACCAACAGACTTCTAATGGTGTCACTGTCCCTTTTTATTTGTCTTGTGACCTCTTCTATCTCTAAAAATACTTCTGCCTCGGGGAATTTTGGAGACAGAGTCGAAAGTAGGGAAATTAAGGGACAGTAGATAGGCGTAGATTTGAAATATCAAATTGTTACTTCAAGGTAACAATAAAAATAAAATTTAATGGAAAAAACCTTAAGAATAGACTACATACTTTAAGTACAGGCATGGAAAAGCACTGACCTGTTTAACTAGGCTTGGGGAATCCCAGAATGTTATTTTAAGGACCCTTTGAATTCAGTGTTCATATGTATCTGAGAGGCCACCTGTTATGGTCATTAAGAACATGGTTCTAGAACTAGCCTGCCTGGGTTTCAGTTCCAGAGTGTGGCCTTGGGCAAGCCATTTACCTCTCTGCCTCCGTTTCTTCACTTGAAGGAATAACAGGATTTTTGTGAAGAATGAACAAATGAATGAATGATTATCTGTAATAGATTTAGAGCAGTGCCTGTGGGCAATGCTATGTAACTGTTTGAAGATGATGATGATGATGATGGCGATGATGAGTGTAAACTATAACCAACTGAAATCAGGGATGCAACAGGAAACCAGGCAAACAGTGGTAGCACCTGTAGCTTCTGTAGCAAAGCACGGCGCAGAAACACACAAATTAGTAGTTTCCATCATCTGGAGCCTAAGTACAAAACAGTAACCCCTCTGCCCCTTGCAAACATCAGAGATGCAATTCAGATGATATTTTCGTGTTTATTCCCCTGCCGTGACCTCTACTCCGTGGGCAAACTGGATCAGGGCTTTAAAGTCCTGGCGCCTGGGAGGCCTGAGGCTTACTGACCTGGGGGATGACATACCAGGGTCAGAGTAAGACTTTTAGGACCCAGAGCCACCCCGTGGGCCACTCCCCTACTCCCGTAGGGACAGGTAACTCCAGGTTATAAGAAATACATCATGTAGCCTTTCACGGAGTATGAAAAAATCACAGCCTCCAAAAACAGGCAGTACACCCTGGAAAAGGCAATCCACCATCTCTGGATGGAGACCCTGGTGGGTTTAATAAATTAGGTGTTTGCACAGATACATGTGACTTCTTTCTTCCAGTTTGGCTGACAGAATTGTTTTCTACCTACCCATCCATCCGCTCTGAGCCCAGCCCACAACCAGTGACTCAGGTTCATGCAGAAACAAGACCTCGGCCAATAAGATGGCTCACAGCAAAGTGGGATCTTTGAGTTTTATGAATCCATGTCTAGATAGCCAACGTCAGTCCTAGAATCCAGAAGGTAAAAATCCGCAGAAGAGCTTTTCTAATCTGTTCTTACCAGGCCACAATGCCTGCTCCGGGGGCCCCGTGGGCTAGTGCCGGAAGCAGGCTTAAAACGCAAGCCTCCTGTGTCCAAACCTAAGTGCAGAGTCCTATAAACTGACACCTTGGGTCCTCTGAAGAGCTAAGATAGACGAGATTTAGATTCACAGCACGCCTGTGAATTAAAAATCGACATTAGATACAGACATGAGCCAACTCTCCTGTTGGGGGAGGCACCTCCTCTGCCTTTAGGAGAAATGTAATGGGGACTGGTCTGACCACCAGCAGACACTCCAAGCCACACTCATTACTTCGACAGGAGTAGAACGCCACGTAGCCAATACCGCCCTGGACCCCAAGCCGAGTTTACTCTCTTCCACTTCTTTCCTTCCTGCTTTCCTCACCGCGGTGGTGAGGGCTGCGGGTGGGGGTAGGATACCTGCCTGCCGGGTTCTGTGCTCTTTCCTCCTCCAACACAAAAGCAGCTCTGGATTAAGGAGAGTTGGAAGGTCAGACTGAGTAAACGCATGAGGGGCTTAAAGAGAAGCCCAAGGATTTTGTACACTGTGTTCTATGGAAACCTAGGATTTACTGAAGGTTCGTGTGCCTTTTTGCAAAAGGAATTAAGCTTCAGGTGGGGTTCTTTTTTTTTAAATGAAATTATCAGATTTTAAAATGTTTTTTAAAAGTAGTATTTCTCTTCTTTGACCCCCAGATTAATACTCTCATCCACACTCTACGTCTGTGCATTTTTCTCCAAGTGCCATCAGGGCCTTGAACAGAAATCAAAAAGGAGAAATGTTTGTCTGCTCTCAAGTCCTACATAAGGAGTCTCGCTATTTCCAGTATGAGTTATGTATTACATTTGTTTGATTGCAATAAGGAAAAAATGTGAAAAGCGAAAAGAAAATGTTCTACAGTTTCTTTAGTTTACTCCCAAATATTTCTCCTTAGCACTGACTTCCTATCTTAAAATCTTTGCTTTGGAGCTGGAAGGAAACCTTTTAGAGAAGAGCAGATTGATGCCGAGCAAGAGTAAATGACTTGCTCCCAGTTACTCTGCTCAATCTCTCACTCTCTTTGTTTCTTTTTAGCATAAATATTTGGCATTTCTTCTTTCCTTTTTTTCTTTACTCTTTGCCATATGAACTGAAATATTTTACTGTTTGCTTGGGACCTGCAATTACACACACTCTTGACTCCAACAAATTGGAAACCATCAATCGATATTCTCAAGGAGGCTAGACAAGGTCTTGCTTTTTCTGGGACAGGATGAAAACCCCACGTTCATTTTGATAATATATCCCAGGATATATTATATATTTATTATTTATTATATATTATTTCTTCTACACATTCTTTAGAAGAAAATAAAATTAAAATAAAATTAAAGTTACTCATCTGCTCCCAATCTCAATGGCCCCAGGTGGGCAGAGGAAAGGGAAGGGTGATTCAGGGGGACTCAAGAGCCACTTTGAAAAGGAGTAGCTCTAGGTGGGACTGGGGTCACGGTGGGGCAGACCAGAGCAGCCCCTCTGAGGATGTGCACTCGGTGGTGTTATGTGATCCTCAAGGGAGCTTCCATCTGCCTTGGTTAAAAACACAGAATCCAGAGCCAGTCAGATTGCTAAGGGTCCAAGTCTATGTTTTGCAACCATTTTCCAGCTATAAACACTTGGGCAGATTCCTTAATGACCCTTACCTAAGTTCCTTCCTCCATAAACTGGGAGTATTAAGAGCACCTAACTCACAGGGTCCTTGTGAAGATTACATGAGCTCGTATCTCATGTAATGTTCTGGAAACAGCACCTGGGACATCCTGAGGGCTCAGTCTATGCTTATCATTATCGCTACCTATTATCAACCCTGTTTCTCAGCCCATCTTTGAAGCTGAAAATGTATGCCAAAGATGGGAGAGGAGGGGAACTGTCTTATTATTCTTGATCCTGTGCTCAAGGAAAACAATGGTTATGGCTTGACTGGACAAGGAGGAACACTTTCTCCTAACCCTAAACCCAGCTTTAACCATCAAGGCATACTTGCCCACAATTAACATTCAAAATCGAGAGCAGTTTCTAAGACGTGCTTTCTTAGAGAACTTTCTGGAAGACTTTAAATTTTGTTGTTGTTGTTCTGCTTTATTTTTACTCAGCATTAGACCATCAGCTTCTGTCTGTGTTGAGACGTGTTCCATGGCTGTCATTTTAAACTCACAGGATATTCTCCCCAAGGGACATACAACCGTTTCCTTAACCGTTTCTTATTGTTGGACATTCAGAATTTCCCCATTATTATAAATAACAGTGCCAAGAACATCTTTGTGTGCAGTATTGTTTTCACACTTGCAAGTTAAATTCTTAGGATGTATTTCTAGAAATGGGATTTCTGGGTCAAAGTATCAATTTTTTTAAATTGAAATTTTTTATTTTTTATTTTTTAATAGACTTTATTCTTTTAAAGCAGTTTCAGGTTCACAACAGAATAGAGCAGAAAATACAGAGTTCTGACATAGCCCTCCCCACCCACACATATATACTCCCCTACCCTCAACAGCCCTCATCAGTGTGGCATGTTTGGTACAATCAATGAACCAACATGGGCACATTATTATCAACCAAAGTCCATAGTTTACATTAAGTTTCACTCTTGATGTTGTACATTCTGTGGGCTTTGACAAATGCATAATGACATGTAGCCACCACTATAGTATCATACAGAATAATTTCATTGCCCTAAAAATCCCTTGCGCTCCACCTATTCATTCCTCCCTCCCTCCCTCTCCCCAAGCCCCTGAAAACCATTATTTTTAAACTCCCTGATACATACTGACAATGGTTTGGGGAAGAAACAATATGATACACATATGTGCTGTCCCCGGCAATACCAGTGAGCCATATTTTTGCAACTTCATCAGCACCAAGAATTATTATTTTTTTCTGGTATTTTAATAGTTTTCATGTAACTATTTCCTCATATACCTATTATTTGTGTTTTCTCTCCTTTAAACTACTGTCCAAAACTCCATCTTTTTTAAAAAAGAACCTGGAAAGTAAGAAAGTTCAGAACCGCTTCAAACTTTTAGATTAAAGGCTGGTCTCCGGTTTATATAACAAGGCTTTCTGTAACTAATACGCACCCGGTTTTCTCAGTGTGGCACCAGACGTGACACAGGGAATGACAGCCCCACCAACCTCAAGTCGTCAGACATGGGGTTGGTTTTAGACTGCTCCGAATGCTCCTTGCCCGTAAGCATTGGCTATTTCTTCCTGGTCATTTTCTGTGCCTTCCGTGATGTCACTTTCTCAGCTGGACTTGTCCTCTGGGCAGCTACATGCTGGTGCTTCTACAGAACGTCAGGATCTCATAGCCACTGTTCTAGATGCCTGAAAATGTTTGGTGTGCAATTAATGAGACATGTCTCTCCTTCATCAAATCATCAGTCTTTCCAGTATTGGGTCGGTTCTTTTGCCCTTAGTGGGGTTGTGGTGAGCCCCCCAGGAAGTATCACATAACACAAAGAAAGTAGGGAGGGCATGTGAAGGAAATTTCCAGTGGCATTCATTGGACTGACACCAATAGATTCTGAGGGCCATTTTAAGCTAGGAAGAAAAACAGTGATCCAGGAATCCCCCACGATGGTAACGAAACTGTGCTGCAGAACCTTCTACTGTGTCTGATTCTCCATATGTCTTGTGTACAGCCACCCATGCAAACGCACAATGCATGCAACGACAGGAGAAGCTGGCGAATTGTGAAAACTCCTTCCAAAGCAATCAGGGTTATCCCGCCCCACTGCATTTGACAGAGACATCAAATGCGCAATTTAAAGCTAGAAAAACATTAGACTTTGGAGTCGGTAGCTAAAACAAGCACCATCATTGGTCAATGCAGCCCAAACAGTTAGAAACATTCTTCACCTGCTCAGTTTGAAAAAAAAAAAAAGGACCCAGCTCCCACTTATCTCCTGACGAGTAAGTGACTAATGTGAAATTGGCCACGGGGAAGCCTGGCTCCCCGGCTCCGGGCGGTACCCTTGGCAACACAACAGAAGGCTGGGGAGCTGGGAGAGGCCTGACCCAGGAGAAGGAAAGAATGGCATGAAATACGGTGCAGCTGCTGAACTTTCTTTTCATTAACTTTAAATTATATCAATTTCTAGGCTTTGGGATACCTTCTGAAAGGAGGGGAAAAAAGGCTGAATAGACAATCTGTCTGCTTTTAACCTAACTCAAACTGAGCAATAATGAAAGTAATTCAGCCTGGGGCAGAAAGACAGGACCACCACAAGCCCTGCTTCCCACCTCCCAATTTTATTTAGCTAGAAGTTTCCATTTCAGCTCTCCTCCTCTGAGACAAGAAAAACACAGCTCCAGAAGGAGGCTGTCTCCACAGCTGGCTCCTGTGCCCAGCCTTCCCCCCACCCAGAGTGACTCAGCAAAGCAGCCCCCTGCGGGCTGGGAACAGGGCAGGGAGCTTGTCACGTGGCTGTAGGAGCATGTGCCATCTTTCCAGCTTGCTTATTCATGCTGCCCCAGAGCTCACCTCCTAGGAATGGCAAATAGCACCTGGATCATTCAATTCTTTGAGTATTCCATACCCCAAGTATCTTTTGGGGAAGAGATGATCAGGAAGACGTTTCTTGGCTGCGTTAGGCTAGCTGAGATTGGGGTGGAGGGATGGGAATGTGGTGGGTAGAAAGGCAGACATGAGCTCTCATCACCAAATCCCAAAGTATTCAAGATCTTAGCACTCCAAGCCCTTCCCTGATCCTCTGCAGTACCTTTTATTATAACTGGATCCATAGATCTTTGAATGCTCTGAGCTTCTCCAGAACACCTGTGCCTCTTGGTCACAGGGTAAAAAACGGGGCAAGAGGAAAAGGAAAATATAAAAGATTCAATACTCCAATTCAGTGTGTCTGTTGAATACAAACTTTGTGTCAGTCATCATTCTCAGAGCTGGATGTATAGAGATCAACAAAGCTTACATTCATGTGGGAGAAACAGACAATGAAAATACAAGCAAATAAATAGAATATTTTAGATGGCAGTAAGTACAGTGAAGAACAGAGTCTTACAGGAGACGGTGAAGGGGCAGGATAGCACTGAGATAATAAGGGAAGACCTCTTTCAGGACATACAATTTGATCTGGGACCTCAGTAATGAGGAGGAATGAGCCAGGCAATGACCTGGGGGGAAAAGCATTCAGGGCAGAAGGAACAGCAAGGGCTCATGCCCAGGAAAGAGGTTGGGCAATCAGAGAGAGAGAAAGAAGATGAAGGAAGCCTGATTAGACTGTTGGAGGGGCAGGCTGCTACCTGATGGGAATGGGGAGGAAAGTTGGAGCCAGATCCCAGAGGGGCTTGTAGCCCAGGGAAAAGAGTTTGGGAGCTACTGGAGTGTTTGTAAGAAGTGCAGCGACAGGAGGCTTACCCTTCTGTTTCCCATTCCCACATGCCACGCACACGTATGTTCACACACGTAGGGAAGATGCCTAGTTAGGGTAGAAATCGAGTTTGAGTTATGCAGATGTTTTATGTTTTTATAATTGGATGTGACTTTAGATTAGCTATTTAGAAGGATAAACACTTTCTCAGAAATGCAAGAGGAAAGGCTAGGTTGGAAAATAAGGCAAAGATTTCCTTGAAGCCCTTTTATAAAGTTAATACCTGAAACGGAACAGCACCATCCACACACCAGTCGCGGGGGATGTTAATCTTTCAGAGACAACTCTTAAGATATTTTGTTATGGCTAGAACAGGGACACAACAGGAAAGAGAAAGCTAGATGGCTTTCTCACTAAGTCCCCAGAGCTTACATGTCCATTAAGAGAAGGCATGACTTGGTTTAAGAAACCAATAACCAGTAATTTACAAGTGATGTGATTTATCCATATTTGCACCGAGTATTGGGTCTCCCTCTTAGATCCAGACAAGACAGTTTTACTCACTCTTTAAACCACAATGGTTTCTCTTTGTTCCAGGACATTGGCACCAACCTGGAAGACCCAGTCGATGAAAGGACTTGAACAAGTAAATGTTTTGGGATATTGACCTGTGAAACTCCTTCAAATATTCTTTTTCTATGTCACTTTTTTTCTTTCCTCACTTCTTTTCTTTCCTCCTTTCTCCCTTCCATCCTTCCTTCCTTTCTTTCAAGAATTTTAAGGAAAGGAAAGGAAAACCTGACAGAACAGGGAGATTTTTTTTTATTATGAAATGTGATTATTTCTAATATGATTAAAATCACATAATACTATTCTTGTAAAAGGATGGAGTTTTAAACACCTGGTGATTAGAGGCATTTTTCAGACTACGAGTAAACAGACACTGCATACCACTGAATTTCTTGTTGTCTAAAGCAAATGTGTACCAAAGTCAAACACATACCTTTTTAAAAAATAAATTTAATGTTTGAAGAAAACCATGATGAACTTAGCAGAGTAGCTATTAATAAGGAATAAATGAAAACATGAATTACTTCTAGGTATATTTTTATTCAGTTTATCATATTTATCCTCTGCCAATTCAATGACATAAAGACAATATTTGCAAAGAGCAAAAAAAGTTCAAATCTTAAATAATAGGAAAGTGTACATAAAATAGTAGGAAAAGCAAATAATTAAGCAAAATACTTAACTCTGAAAAATGTGGACACTTTCTGCCATCATATATTTTACTTTCACAGTGATTCCAGAGCCCTAAGTAAATTTGATTTTTAAATTTTATTTTTACCTCAGAGATAGTTCCCTCATTTGAATAGACGTTGGAAATTAGCTCAATGACTGAACATCTGAAGAACAGAAGTTTGGGAGACTTGACCTTGTCCCCTCATAGATATCCATGTCCTAATCCCTGGATCCTATGAATGTTACCTTAAATGGCAAAAAAAAAAAGGACTTTGCAGATGTGTTTGAGTTAGGGATCTTGAGATGGGGAGATTATCCTGGATTATCCGAGTGGGCTTTAGACATAATCACACATATTCATATTAGCGAGAGGAGAGGGAGGTTTGGCACAGAGGAGACGACAGTGTGAGCGCTGAGCAGGGGTTGGCGGGATGTGGCCACGAGCTAAGGACTGCCGACACCCACTCCAGGCAGACGCATTCTTCCCCGGAGCCTCTGCTGGGAGCACCTGGGACTTGAACTCCCAAATTGTGAGAGGACAAATCTCAAGTGTTTTAAGCTACCCAGTTGATGGTAATTTGCTACAGCAGACGTAGGAAACCAACACAAAAAGCCATTCTGAGTAAATACCCAGTGACATCTTAAAGGAGTAAAGTAGCCATGAGGGGGTGGGAGTTTTTTGTTTTTTTTTAATGACTTGCATTGAAATTGATCTGATTTCTACATCAGAGGAGTCATGCACAGGACTTATTTCACTGTTTCACACACATGACTTCTTTCAAATGGATAATATCCAGGTCATATTGGCTGGTAAAGTTTTAGTACTAACCATACAGAAAGCATCGATGCTTCACTTGTTGAAAACACTATAAACTCAAGCTAATTCTGCTTCCCCAGTCTTCACGGCCCCTTTCCCTCTCTTCAGAGGCAACCGCATTAACCCTTTCTGACTTCATTGTTTCTGATAACTGTCTCCGTGACTGTGAGAAACATGGTTATTAGCTCTATCATTTTCTTTTATCAACCTTAAGGAAAAGCAGAAAACCCTACTAATTCTCCATTAAGAAAGAAAGATAAAGACTTAGCTCAGTGGTTTTGTACCTGGTTGCACATTACAATCACCTGAGAAGCTTTAAAACTGTGTCTATAACTAATCCCCACGCCTAGACATTCTGATTTAATTGGTCTTGAATGGGACCTCAGCATCAGTTATCGCTGAAGATATTCTGGTGATTCTGCTGCAGACAGAGCTGAGAACTATGAATTTAGCTCTCTTTCTCTCCTTCTTCCCAACATTTGCTAGTTACATTATTAATTTCTTTTTTTTGCCATTCTACAGTTATGCATTATTATATGTCTTAACTTTTATTCATTTAATCTTCATTTTAAATAATAATGGTTAAATATCTATCTCTTGACCATCAACTTTGGGTTTTTTTAGGAGAAGGTAATTGGGTTTATCTGTTTATTTTCAGAGGAGATACTGGGGATTGAACCCAGGACCTTGTGCATGCTAAACGTGTGGTCTACCATGTGAGCTGTACCCTGCCCCAGCCTTGCCATCAGCTTTGGATCATGTGATCTGATTCCTAACTACAGTAGGTAGAATTCTAGACAGCCTCCAAAAATTTTCAATCCCATGAGAAAGAGGCTCAGTGTTGAAATCAGACACTCTTGAATTTTAATCCTACCTCTCCCATTTCCTCTTCGTGAGTGTACAGGCTAGTGATGAATTTTCAGAGATCCAGAGTCCTCATCTTCAGAATGATGGTAATAGTACATGCCTGATAATTCTGTACATGGAAGATTAAAATAAGCATGTGAGTACAAAGCTCTGTTCATGGTACCTGTGAATACTAACTCTTACTAAATGGGAGCTGTAATCATTATTAGCCAAGGACTGCAGCTAATCTCCCTCTCAGCACTTAATAAACCCATTTGAAGCACATTATTTATTTTTAGCTTTTAAGTTCTGGAGTATAAAACACATTATAAAAAGCACATAAAATGTAAATGTTCAGTTTAACCAATAATAATAAAGTGATTGTACAGATAACAAACACAGAATAAAAGAAAATGCATTGCCAGCATCCAGAAGCCCTCATTCCCCCCACACCTTTATTTTTCCTATTAGAAACACTTCCTTCCACAATAAGGGTAACTTGCTAATTAATTTTAATTTTTGATGTTCTTAAGTTGTATTGAAAACATTCCCCATTCTGTTTCTTAATCTTATCACCTAAAGAGAGATATCCCTAGCAAGATTTAAAAATTTATGAGTTGTCCAAGAAAGTATGGTGGATTGGTGTCATATTTATTGAGAGCCATAGTGTGCAGAAACTAGTGAAGGGATATACTGCTTGCCTTCCAGAAGCTTATAGTGATAAAAAATAAAGCCATGCTCCCAGCTAGCAGTTTGCCCGATGCCCTTTATGCCACTTTCTTATGGAGTACAACAATATTTACTAGAAACAAAAATGATACCAGAAGTTGCTCTTTGTTTTCAAAACCAACTTTGTACCCAGATCCCATAACATAAAGAGAAGGGGAAATGAGAAGGGACTTCACATTTACTGATATCTACTACTAGCCTATCACACTGTGCTAATTTTTTTCCATTTTTCTTATTAATTGTTACAGCAATTGTACATGATAGATATTATTTACCCTATTCAACTTCTGAGGAGTTGAAGCAATAGCTAGGAAGTTAAAACAATGTAATCTTAAAAACGGAAAACAGCCAGACTTCTATGTTGCTACATAGGAAGATACAATACTTGTGAATGTAAATGCACTTAACAATAGAGCCCAAAGTTTCATGAAATAAAATCTTACAGAATTGAAAGAGATCAGACAACTCAACAATTATAGTTGAAGATTTCAATACCTCATTCTCAAGAATTGATAGAAATACTAGGTGAAAAAAATCAGCAAGAATATAGAAGACTTGACAACACTATCAATCAATTCAACCCAACTGATGTATAGAGACATTCTACAACACTATCAGTCAATTCAACCCAACTGACGTATAGAGACATTCTACCCAACAGTTGCAGAATGCATGTTTTTTCAAGCACATATGGTTAGATCAGGATCAGCCATATGCTGGGACCTAAAACAAGTCTCAATAAGTTTAAAAGAATTTTAAGATCATACAGAGAATATTCTCCAATCACAACAGAATTAGAAATCAACAACAGAAAAAAATCTGGAAAACTCCCAAATACTGCAAAATTAAACAACATATTTCTAAGTAACTCATGGTTCAAAGAAGAAATCATAATGAAAATTAGAAGACATTTTAACAAATAAAACATTAAAAATATAAATACATAAGTGTATTAATATATTTAATTAAAATGTTAAAAAATAAAAATAACATATTAGATTTAAGAGATGTAGCTAAAGTAGTGCTTAGAGGGAAATTTATCATTTTAAACACTTATAGCAGAAAAGAAGAAAGGCTTCAAATCAATTACCAAAGCTTTCACTTTAAGAAACTAGAAAAAGAAAAGCAAACAAAAGTTAATAGAAGAATGTAAACAATAAATCTTAGAGCAGAAATCAATGAAATAGAAAACAGAAAAGCAACAGAGAGAATCAATGGAACCAAAAGTTGGGGTTTTTAAAAAAAATATTCAGGAAAATTGACAGACCTTTAGCTAGACTGCCCGAAATAAAGAAAGAAGACACAGGTTAGAAAATCAGGAATGAAATGGAGGACGTCACTACCAACTCTACAGAAATTAAAAGGATTAAAAGAGAATTTTATGAGTAACTGTATGCCAATAACCTCAACAAATTAGGTGAAATGGACAAATTCCCAGAAAGTCACAAGTTACCAAAACTGACTCAGGAAGAAATAGAAAATTGAAATAGATCTATAACAAATTAAGAAGTTGATTTAGTCATTTAAAATCTTTCCACAAATACAAGCTCAGGCCTAGAAAGTTTCACTGGTGAATTCTATCTAATATTTACAGAAGTAATAGCAATCCTTCACAAAGTCATCCAGAAAGTAAAAGAGGGAACACTTCCACACTTATTTTATAAAGCCAGCATTATTACCATGATATCAAAGTCAAACAAAGACATCTCAAGAGAAGAACTACAGACCAATAACCTTTATAGACAGAGACACAACAATAATTAAGACCATTTTAGCAAATTGAATTCAGCAACATATAAAATGAAAACACGGCAGGACTCATCCCAAGAGTGCAAAGTTGGTTCAAGATCTAAAAATCAACCTAAAGTGTGAAGGACAAACATCACATGATCATCTCAATAGATACAGAAAAAACATTTGACAAAACGTCATATTCATTCATGATTAAAGACTCTCAACACACAAAGACTAGAAAGGAATTCCTCTGGCCTGTGGATGTTGTGATGTGTTCTCAATCCTCTAAATTTACTGCAATTATTCAATTCTGTATTTTTATTACACACAAATTATCCCTCAGTGTAGCTATTATACAAATTTTTTTTTAAATGCCTAAGGTTTCTTATCAGTGGAAGCTGCTATAGGTAAGAAGTGTATCTTTATTACGTTCTCTCTAGCACACAGCTCATTAAGGTTGCTCAGTCAATTTTTAGTAGTTTATACAATCGAGCTTCAAAAAATTAACCATGTTCCAGGAACTATACACCCTGTAGCCTGGCTACAAGTTCTTACTACAACTTACTCTCTTTTATCTACTCTGTCCCCATTTCTCCTCTCTGAGCCCTTGCCCACGCCATGCCCTTCATCCACTAGGTGGTACTTTTGGCACTTGTAGTTTCATTGCTAATCAAAAGACCTCAGAGTACTTAGAGGGAGAAACATAATGTAAAGAAGCCATTGGTTACAGGGGTAGTCGCAAGCTGGAGAGGGCGCTTATCAGATACGATCAGACAACTTTAACTCACATTCATAGAATAAGTTTCTTCCTTTTCCTCAGCAGAAATTGCACATGAAGGATCTCATGTTTTAGAATTTTTCCAAAATACGGGTTCCTGGGGCTGTGTGCACACAGAAGCCAGTCTTATAAGGGACAAATGGGCAGCTGCACTAGTAATGAAGCTTTCATTCATTCATTCTTCAACCAACATTTATTGAGCAACTGCTCTATGCCACACCCACTGTTCTAGGTATTGGAACAGCAGTATACAAAACAAAGTTCCTGCCGACATTGGACGTGCAGTTGAGGGAGAGATAATCACTAAACAAACAATTGCTGATGTCTGGTCTGTAAGGGCTTTGGAAAGCCTTGAAAGGCAGGAAAGGGGAAAATGGGGGTGGTGGAGGCGGCGGTCACCATCGCATGGGGAGTGGACGGTCAATGCTTTTCCAACAAGATGACATTTAGTGCATCTGAAGAAAACGAGGGAAGGGGTCATGCAGCTGAAAAGCAACCCAGGCAGAGAGAAAACCCAGTAAACAAAGGATTGTAAGCAGGAGGACTCTTGGCATATTCATGTAGAGCAGGAAGGGCACATGCGTGGGTGTGGCACAGGGTGGAAGGGCATGCATGGTGGAGATGAGTTCAGAGAGGCAGAGGTGGTGTGGCTTGTAGGGCATGATGGTCCTTGCAGGGCATCTTTAAGGCCTTTGATTTTACTCTGAGTGAAACAGGAACCACTGAAGGATTTTGAGCAAAGAAGTGGCGTAGTCTGACTTCTGTTTTAAAGGGATTACTCTGGTGGCTGTGTTGAGATTGACTCTAGTAGGGCAGAGGCAGAAGCTGGGAGACCAGTTAGGACACTATTGCAATAATCCAGGCAAGGGGTGATGTGGCTTAGACAGGGCGTGAGCAATGGGAGAGGTGGGACGAGACCATGTTTCAAACATACTCCTAAGGAAGAACCAGCACGATCAGCTGATGAGTTGATAGCTGGTGTGAGAAAAAGAGAAGAGGCAGAGATGATGATTTGTTTTAATTGTTTAACAGAAGTTTATGTAGCAGTAATCACATGCCAGGCACTGTTCCAAGTTCTTGGCAAATATTGACTCATTTAATCTTTGCAGTATGCCTATGAGATAGGTACTGTTTTCATCCTCCTTATCTTGCCTTCAAGGTTTTGGCTCTGAGATGCTGGGAGAATAAGCTGTCACTTACTGAGAGAGGGAAGACTATGTGAAGAGCAGGTTCAAGTTGATACGTTAAGGTTGAGAAGACTCAAATAACTGTGTGAAGATGCCAAGCGGGCGGCTGGTTATGCAAGATTGGAGTTAAGGAGACTTGATCTGCTCTGGAGATACACACTCAGGGTAAACATGGTATTTACAACCATGAAACTGGATGAGATCTCTAGGAGAGTAGAGATTCGGAAGAGAAGAGGACCAAGGAACAAGCTTGGGGCCATTTGGTATTATTGAGGGCGTAAGGATAAACTATCAAAGGCAGAGGAGAGGCCAAAGAGCTTGGCATCCTGGAAGCCAAGCGAAGAAACCGAAGGAGGAGAGGACATCCAGCTGTGTCAAATGCTACAGATGGGTCCAGTAGGAGAGAGCTGAGCATTTATTTCTTGTTCACTTTGAAAAGAGCTATTTCACTGAGTGGTAGAGATGAAAGCTGGGGTCAAAAGAAAACAGGAGGAACAGGATAGATAACGATGAGCAAAGAGAACTCTCTTGAGGCATTTTCTATAAAAAGGAATAGAGAAATATGGCGACAGTCAGAAAAGAGATAAGGTCAAGAGAGGGCTTTTTTTGGTTTGTTTTTGTTTTTTGGATGTTTTCTTTTATTTTAAAGATGAAC